CCCCCCCCTCCCGACAGGAAAATTGGTCTCATTTCTCTTAGAAGCTGAGCCAACCCCAGGACCATAGACTGGCTGGTAGGATTAGGTAAATTGAAATAAATCCAATAAACTCATCAGGAATCGAACCCGCGACCTTTCGACTTGTAGCACAGTGCCTCAACCAACTACGTTATCGCATGCCCGTTTCTGTAATAAAAGAGACCAATTATAAAAACAATATAACATGGCCGTCAATAAAACAGCTTGCATTATGAAAGTATGAAGTAGTGCATTAAGTATGGAAAATAAACGTTTTTTCATCTGATATATTAGTACTTGACGGATGAGAAATTAGAAACTGAATTATTTGAAACTGCAAGAATTTGATAAACTGTACAGTAGTTGATTCTCAGTCCTTCGAATTAGGAAGAGAATTAAACCCAATCCGAGAGGACGGCGGAAAACATGTCCTGCAGTCAAGTATATATTCTTGCAATTTGTAAGCACCAGTAATTATAATATAGGTTTTCTACATTGCTTCGAATTCATTAATATGCTAATACGATCGCAATTCTATTTATGCTTATGTTCATTTAAACTTTCGAATCAACTGACAAAATTGAGTGTGAACATTATGCCATTAGAAGCTATATCAAATTTTAATTTTTAATTTTCTACAGTCCGTAAGAAACAATGGTTATCGCGCAAACTAGTGAGGTGACAGTCCTTTTAGTTTAAGATCCTGAAATGATGTACGTTAAAATGTGTTCGAGAAATGTGCAGTTCTGGTTAAGAATTTTTTTTTCTGTGGAATGTAAAACAACAATATGGCTGCCGCGCGAAAATTTCTTCAGCACTCGGTTTAATGGCGATAATGAATTACTACAAACGTGATATTAGGTATAGAGACAGATTTATAACATAACTTACATATTACGAAAGGAACTTTTCTATAAGTCAGTTATTGCAAATACGGCGAGAGCGCGAATCTTCAAGATAATATACGACAAATTTAATGCAGACAAAATATGTTCTTAAGCAATAAACTCGACACAAAACAGAAAACAATAAAATATAGCATTGTCACGTGTACGGCTACTATAGACGAGGTTTGGATTGGTAATTGCATTTATTGAACACTTACAGGTCATAACTACAAGTAACTACAGCGCTGTCGCTAATTCACACACTCTACAATTCACTACAGCACGCACTAAAACTCCTCAGTCTGCTGTGTCTTCACCGGTCGTCGCCTGGTAATGGCTTCCAAAGCCGTAGCTTCCTCACCTTCCCCAGCTTCCGTGTTCATGTACTCACTTTCCGGCGACTTCCTCAGAACTAACTCAGAGTGGCAGCCATCTCACACCAAAATACTACTCTTCTGATTGGCCAATTCTCAGATTCAAAGTCAAAGTTACTTCACGACGGCCGATATACTGCCAATCAGTTCGTCTTGGCGACAAGCCCTTTGAGACCCACGACCAGATTGTTTTCAGCTGAACTCTCGCAGTAATAGTCCTCATGTGACATCCCTTCTGACGAAAGGATGGATTTGTTTCTTATGAAGTGTACACATCGTACATATAGCATATTACTGAAAATTCTTCCTTGTGCACTGTATAAAATTCCTCTGTTTATCCAGGCTTTGCTAAAAATATCATGCTTATCTTACTTACTGAATGCTACAACTGCAGCTTAGTTACTTGAAAGGCCGTAAACTTGACCGCCGCAAGCTTTAAGCGTTTTGTATTTTCTGCGTGTGGCTTCACATTTTTCTGTACTACGAACATGTTCATTCTCATGATTTTGTATGGCTTCTACTTGTTCTGTGCATAATTTTGTTATATAATTATATAAAAACGGGAGGTTGAAAGCCGTGTGCAAATCGCGGACCGGTGTGCACATTTGAAAATTTACAGTGTCGCGGAGAACTTTGTTTTCTGGGCTCTGCAATTTTGGAAGTTAGGTGTCTGCCACCAATTCCCAAGTGGGACACGCGTTAAGTCATTACTGATTTGATCGGTGGCTTGTGGAGAGTTAGTTTAATGTTGGCGCTTAAACTCTCACTTTTGAATAGGGAACAGATTCTAGCAAATGTTCTGAAGGCCTTGGCTTCAATCATTTCTATGTACAGTCTCCATGAAATCCCCTTATCCAAGATAACACCGAGATAATTTATATGATTGATGAATGAGATATTCTGACCTTTCAATGTATGATGAACCTCAGAGGGCCTAATTCTACAAGAAAAGTAGATGATCTGTGTTTTATCTTTTTTGAGTTTCATGTTCCATCTCTCATATCACGCCTCAACAGAACTGAGACATCGCTGCAACTTTCTGCAGACATAAACCTCTTTGCGGCCTGTGGCATATATACAGATGTCATCAGCAAAGAGACCCAAATAGACACCAGGTGTTCGGGACGTATCATTTATATATATATATATATATACTGTACACTATTAGGGACAGGACGGAAACTTGTGGCACCCTTACTCGTGTATCCCATGGCGTAGACATTTCGCCTTCGACTTTTTTCTGAGAAAGAAAAACGTTGATACGTTTGATTAGACTGATCGAAAATTTTAATTCCGACAATTTACATATCAAGCGAAGATGCCGTGTTATATCAAAGGCTTTTTCAATATCCAGGAATACCGCAGCCGTAGACGTGTTATTATTGAAATTTAAAGTGGTGTGGTCCGTAAGCTTCATACATTGAAATGTCGTGCTTTGAGCGGGCGAGAACAAACTGGCTTATATTAAACAGGCCCCTTTGTTCAACGTGCCTTCGATATATTTTCAGAATAACTTTTTCGAATAGCTTACCTGTAGTAGACAATAAACTAATAGAGTATATTGATTTGTACCATATATTTAACAGAACATTTCAAAATAATTCAACAAGAAATTTTGAACAGGGAATTCGATATTATGTGAGGAATTTATGAAACCTAAATTTCGACAAATGTTAGCTTTCACTGCTTGGATTTTGCTCACTTTTGAAACTTTATATGATATATGCCAGCGTCAGCTATTTCCTGTAATTTCATAGTAAGATATAGTAACACTGTTATTTATTTATATACATGAGCAGTATCATCAAATTACTTACTTCATAGGACGTTACTACACATGAAACAGGTTTATTAGTTACACGAATACCATGTAGTAGAAATGTGGATACAACTGAAAATGATGGTAATGAAATAACTTTCCAGCATATTTATCGAAAAACATTTCCGCTTGTGTAATTCTTATCTATTTTCTGACTATTGTATTCATTGCTATAAGCCTTATAGCAAAATACATTATAATATGACATAATTAACAGAAATCAACCATGAATATTCATGTTCAAATCCCAGAGAAACACTGCATCTTCACCACCATAGGAAGAGTATTTCGCAATTGTTGTGAT